TGTCCTTACTGCACACATTTGGGGAGACAACCAGGGCTCTGAGGGAGGGTGGCACTCTCTGGTCACACAGCTGCTGGATACAGCACCCTGATCTAGACGGTTCCCATGCAATTCTCCTCACTCCATTCAGCCAATAAAATAGTCCAGGCCTTGGCACCTGCTTGCAAATGGACCCTGACCTTGACGAGGCCACTTGTCTGTCCATCTCAGTGTCTAGGGACTGGGAAACAGCCTTGAGCCTGGCTACCTAACAGCCTTCAGTGAGTACCACTACCCTCCCCTTGTGGGGTTTGGCTCAAGAGATAAGAGCTGTCTGGTCCTGGGGTTTCCAGGTCCTCATTAGGCCACATAAAAGTGAGACACACTGTTCAGACCCATGGCCGTGGAGGTGGCCAGGCTCTGGCCTCTTTCCAACATCATCCCCACCCACTCTCAGCATGCTTGGATTCTCATTAGTGTAATTGACCTGCTTATTTGCATGAGCCACGAGTGAACATTCTTCCTGGGAATCACCTTCCCCCCATTCATAATTCTGTTACATGTGCCAGGACACCACTCCATGGAATGAGCAAACCGATGAGATTATTTTCTTCAATTGGGCTGAATTCTCTTCCAGAATGAACTCCCCTGAGTGTCAGCTTTCCATTCATTTGACTCTGGGCCTCTGCCCAAGAAAATTGAGTTGGATAGAGAGGAGGCGATCTCCCTGCCTGACGGGATGGGCAACCCCAAGTAGGGTAGGTTCAGGGATCTGACCCCACCCCCACTCAGCAACTCAGCAAAGATGTGAATTAGATTTCCCGGTTGAGTCTCAGCAAGGGCCAATCTTAGCTGCAATGAGAGGAAGAAACAGAGCTCCACTGTGTGCCATGGCTTGCCCTGAACACTCAGCAGAGTCCTTACACAGCAACATGCATTGTGTGTTAAGGTTCTCTACGCACCAGACCTTGAACTAAATACTTCATACTCAGTGGACCCTTGAGACATTGTGCTAGTTGGCTTTTCTCTTGCTGTGACAAAATGCCTGAGGAAAACAATTTAAAGGAGGAAAGAGTTATTTTGGCTCACAGTTTTAGAGGGTTCAGACCGAGGTCGGCTGGCTTCATCATTTCTGGACCTGTGATGAGGCAGAAATGTCATGGTGGAAGAATGTGGCTGGTCACCTCATGGCAGACAGGAAGCAGAAAGACAGACAGGAAGGGGCCAGGGACAAGATATGCCCCTCAAAGCCACACCCCTGACCTTCCTCTACCTAGCCCTCCCCCCACTACTGCCATCAAATTAGGAAGCCATCAGTGGAAGAATCCATTGATTATGTCTGGATCTGATCACTTCTCAAGGATTGGCTCCACTGGCAGGAGACCAAGCCCTTTTTGCGGGGTGGGGGTGGGGGAGATTAATACCCAAACCATAACAGATACTTCCATCTTCCACATTTTTTTCTTTTTCTTTTACTTTTTTGGTGTGTCTGGAATCTGAATTCAGGGCTTTGCACTTGCAAAGCAGGCTCGCTATCACTTGAGCCACACCTCCAGTCCATTTTGCTGTGGTTATTTTGGAGATGGGAGTCTCATGAACTATTTGCCCAGGGTGGCCTTAAACCTTGATCCTCCTAATCTCATCCTTCCAAGTAGATGGGATGATAGGTGTGAGCCACCAGTGCCTGGCTGAAATCTTTTTATTTATTTATTTGATGGCAGTACTGGGGTTTGAACTCAGGGCCTCATGCTTGCTGGGCAAGTGCTCTACCACTTGAGCCTCTCCACGTGCTCTGCCTTCCCCATTTCTAGATGAGGAAATAGAGTGGGATACCTTGGTTAGGATCACAGTTAACAAGCAATGGTGCTGACATGTATGCCAACTACTTCATGATATCATTAGAGCGATCTACAGAGCACCCCAGGAATGGGATGGCAGATTCCATTTCATCAGTAAGAAAACTGAGGCCCCAGAAATGGATGCCTCTGCTGAGCTCACATGGCTGCTGAGTGGGAAGAGTGGATGAACTCCTGAAGCCTAACTTAAAAGGGCTCACTCAAGGATTAGGCTCCTTGAATGCCCATTCCCTTCAGATCAAATCCCCTTTCTTTGCCTGATGTAAGAGGCAAGCTTCTATGTATCCTTCAAAACCCAGTTCAAATTCCCCTCTTCAGGAACGATTTCCCTAGTTATTCCAAGCATGATAGTGCTTCTTTTTCTGTGTACTTAGTACTTGTCACTTTGTACTTGTATGTGTGTCTCTCACTCAGCAATTGCTCCTTAATGGTGTCTGGATCATGTTTGCCTGCATATTCTGAAACTTAGCATGGAATACACACCTATGTAGCTATGGGATGTAGAGATTCGTTCAATTCTCTCATCAACTTGGAACCTCACAGTGTATTCCCTGGTATGTCACATCCATTTAACATGTTATATGTATGTAGAGGAGTTATTTCAATTGGGTGTGCATATGTAAATCACCTTTGGAATTTTTTTAAATGTGGACTTCAGGACCCTGCCTGTAACCTACCAAATCATTGTTCTGCCATGGCTGACATCATGTCATGTCCAGTCGCCTGCCACCGAGGTGGAGATGGGGATGTCAAAGCTCTGCCAGTCAGTCGTTCCCTGGAGCTCTCTGCTGGAGCACAGGAAGAGTTCTCATTGTGCAGCCATCGTGGAACTGACTGGGTGTCCGTGACGCTCCACCTGACAGCAGCTGTGCTCACTGGCACAGGAAACGGGAGCTTGTCTTTCATGGAAGAAAGAGAGAGACAAGAGGAAGCAAGTTCAGCCATTGCCAAGGTGCTCACTTAAGCCACTCCACCAGCTCTGTCTTGTGTTGGGTAATTTCAAAATAGGGTCTTGAGAACTATTTGCCCAGGCTGGCTTTTGAACCACAATCCTCTTGATCTCTGCCTCTGGAGTAGTTAGGATTACAGGCGTGAGCCACTGGTGCCTGGTCTCCCCTCTTTTTCTTAAGCTACTTCGAGAGTTTTTGTCATTTGCTATGTGTGGTGTGTGTAGACAAAGTATTTCAAATGTACACGTCCTCACAAATGTTGTTGCTTAATGGAGCTCTTTATATAAGAATGTGGCAGTACTGTTTGTACCTTGGTCCTCTGGGTAATATGTTCCTGCAGAGCTCCTTTCCCTGTCTGAATAAGTGTCTCTTGACCAGGAGGTCCTGTGCTTGGCATACTCCAAGTGTGTGACGATGGATGGGACAAGGGTGGGTGACTTTAAAGTTTTCTCAGCATCACAACCAAGTGGAACAGTTTTCTGAAGACAATACTCTTCTGGAGTGATGGAATGCTGCCTCTTTAAAGAAAAACTGAAGGAAAAGTTGAGGACCACCCACAAATATCAGACAGACTGAGAAAACCATCTATCAAGTTGGACGCACAGAGCCATTTTTATTACTCATTACGGATAGTGGAGGAGTTTAGAGGTGAGTCTTAACTGTCCCTCCTTCTCTACCTGCCACTTCACACCCAGAGACGTCAATGCTCCCAGTGGGTAGAAGGCTGTTCTGTCTACTGTTCCTCTAGTAACACAGTTGTTGGCTTTTCAGGAACTGTTTGAGCCACACTCCACCATCTTCCTTCCTTCTGCATAGTCTTGCCCATGTTTTTCTTTCTAGTCTAGGACGACCACTGCACAAACTTCACTCATTAATCCTTTAGCCAAGCACTTGCTCCTGACAGATCCTGGGGGTGGGGGTGGGGGTCGTGGTAGCAACACGGATCAGAAGTGGCTCCTGCCTTCAAGGAAGTCACAGAGGCATCCATTTCATGGGAGAAGCCCACGGTCTTAAGCAGCATGTCAGGCAGAGCTCCTAGAGCAGGGTGACTGTGATTCAGGCTTTGACATATGTATAGGAGTTTACCAAGTAGAAAGAAAAGGAGAAAAGTATCCTAAGGCTGCCATTCAAACATTTTCAAATTCCACAATCAGAATTATGTCTCCAAGTGTGTACCTTAAGGTAAAGACTTTGTATTTTTTCTTACATAAAGGAGGAAAAAATTTAGAACTTCTTGGAGATTTGTGGGGGGGCCATTTTCTAACCCTGCCACTACTTGCCGGAGGGGAAGGAGAAACTAATAAAATATCCTGTGTCAAAAGCCACAAGAATATGCAGATCAGGGGCTGAGTGTACAAACGCACTGGCAGCTTAATCTCACCCCCTGACTGCCAGGCATGTAACTCAGACAGCACGCTGGAAACCATTTTTCGCTTAAGATGAATTCTGGAAAGGTCCATCAGAACTTCCTCCATTCGGCACGGCTTTGTTCTCTTCTGCCCAAGAAACCATCACTTTCCCTGGCCCCCATTCTTCAGAGCTGGTACGTGGGGAATGGCCAGATCGCCTCTGGCAGGAAAATCCGATAGCTGTGTGTTTCCAAAGGTTTCTTTTGAATTCAGTTCTGATTGATGTGTCCAGGGCCGTGGAGCTTACGTGACACTTTCATCTGTCCTTTACAACGACCAGGGGAGATAGTTCTGTGATTCATCTTTTTACAGGTGGAGAAACTGGGGGTCAAGAAAGAGGGGAAGGATGTACAGAAATGCACAGGGGAGAGGAAGACAAAGACTGGCCAGCATGTGCATTCCTGGGGACTCTTTGCACCTGACCTTCAGTTAATCCTCTGAACGTTCCAGGAAGGAGGCATTATGGGCCCCGTTGACAGCTGAGGAACCTGAGGTTCAGACACAAGATCGCCATGCAATCCCAGGCTTGTGTTTTCTGGGATTTGAACACAGGGCCTCACACTTGCTAAGTGGGCTTTCTACCACTTGAGCCACTCCACCAGCCTTTTTATGTGTGGGGTTTTTTCAGATAGGGTCTCACAAACTATTTGCCCAGGCTGGCTTTGAACTTCGATCCTCCTGATCTCTACTCCCTGAGTAGCTGAGATTACAGGCATGAGCTACCATCTCCTGGCTCCCTCCAGGCAGCTCTGGCCATGCTGGCCTGAGGACTCACTATGCATCCATCAATCTGGGAGTGTGAAGAAATGCGAGATCGGATCCTGTCCTCCTGCACCCTTGATTTGGTGAGGAGCCAGATCCAGGCCTTCCAGAATGAGGACGGACTGAAGGACAGCAGCTACCTTTGCAAATTCCTGACACGCCAGCACATGTGGGAAGCCTATGATCTCTCCTCCTGCCAACCTGTAGGTACAAGCAAATTTCACCCCAAAGTCTCCTGCCTTGTAATTGGCTGAGAATTTGAACAAAGGCTGTCTGATTCCAAAGCACAAGTGCCAAACAGGGAAATTCCTGTAGCTTAGCCTTGGAAATGCACTGCGTGGCTCCATGCCTGCCTCTGCTAGTTACTAGCTGTGTGTGCTTGGGTGAATTACTTGCCCTCTCTGGATTTCTATTCCCAGGGCAGTAAAACAAGGATTGCCCAGTAATTAGCTGAAGAGATGCAGTGAGGATTAAGTGAGAAAGCTCGTACAAAGCCTTTCTCATAGAACTGGGTTCAGGCTCACAAGCTGCATGCTGACTAGCTCTGATATTGTCACCACGGGGACTGGGTTGAACACTTTGCCTGCATAGGAGCCACCTTCAGCCTTCTGGTCATTCCACGTATCCTATTTGCATATTCATCAACCCTGGGAAGGGAAAGAATGTGACACACTTAGGCAGATTTGCCATAGATTCTGAGCCTGTCCCTTAGGAGCAGGTGCCAGTCCCTGGAAGTGGACAGGCTTGGTGAGACCTCTGATCTCTCTCCTACTGGGCCTTAGGGTACAGCTGTGCTCTTCAAGGGAAGCAGAAGAAGAATGTTCCCTTTGTCAGGGTCTGGTAGGCCTGACCCTCAGGGCGTGGCTGGGAGTTCAGAGGAGCAAAAGTTAAACATTCGTAGGAGCCAAGTAGGAGTCTTTCTTTAAAAAGCTATTGGAGATGGAAGGCAAGTCTTTACCCACAGCTACTTCTCTCAGGCCTTCTTCTGCTCTGGGCATTTAGCTTCCTCACATCTGCTACTTAAGGAAAGAGAAGATAGATGATAGATGATAGATAGATAGATATAGATAGATAGATAGATAGATAGATAGATAGATAGATAGATAGATGAGGAGTGCTGCCTGTAATGCCTGCGGGAAGCCAGGGGGAGCCCCATACAGCCTGGCAGACCACCTGCTCACCCATGGCTCATTGTGTCACCTTGCACCTGCCTCTTTTCCTGTCTAAGACCAAGTTCCTTTTCTGTAAAGTGGGGTGACATTTGCATCCATCTCCTACGGTTTTATATCTAAGTGCCACAAACAGGGCAGCTTACAGCCCAGAAATCCCTTGTCTCCCATCTTGAAGCTCATTCTGAAATCAAGGTATCAGCAGAGCCTTGCTCTCTCTGAGGCTCTGAGGAGAAGCTGTTCTGGGCGTTTCCTAGCTTCTGGTGTCACTGGAAATACTTGATGTCCTTTGGCTGCTAGAGGGGTCACTCCAAGCTCTGCCACTGTGACCATGAGACATTCTCCCCATGTGTGTCTCTTATCTCAGAAGGACACCAGCGAGCCTGGAATGAAGGCTTAGCTAATGACATCGTACTCACTCGATTACATCTTCAACGGCCTTACTTCCAGGGAGATACATCCTTCTGCTGATAGGTCAGATTCCCAGGCAAGACTCCAGTCCCCACATGGCTTGTTTGTAGGCACTGCCTATGTTCCATCTGCTGTCCCCAGAAGCATGACTTTCTTACGTAGCTGGGGTGACGGACAGGTACCACCGTGCCTAGCCATTTGTTGAGATGGGGGGGTCTCACAAACTTTTTTTTGCACAGACTGGCCTTGACCCTCAAGCCTCCCCACGTCTACCTCCCAAGTAACTAGGATTATGGGTGTGAGCCACCATGCCCGGTCTGTTTATTTCATTACAAAAGAGTACATACTTATAAAAGAAACCATATGTAAAATATATTTATACTAAATTCTGGAAAACAAAAAATCTTCAAGGACAGAAAGTAGAGTAATGATTGCCTAGGGAAACAGTTCCACAAGAGGAAAAACTTCTAATGCATTACAGTACAGTAGGGCAACAATGGTTGACAAAAATTGACTGAATATTTCAAAATAGCTAAGAAAGAGGATTTTGAATGGTCCCAACACGGAGAAACGCTAACTATCTAGGGTGATGAAAATGTTCAAAATTAGATTACGGTAATTGTTACAACTTTGTAAATACCCCCAAAACATTAAATGGTACATTTTAAATGGAAGAACTTTATGGTGGGTAAATTGAATCTCAATGCATCTGTCTTAAAATATAGAAAGAGGGAAAACCGATTCTCCCTTTCTTCTCCCATCCACCCCTACTCAACTCCCTCTCTTAGAGGGGGCTATTTTGAACACTAGCTTCTTTTCTCTGTATTTAAAACTCATATATAGACTTTAAAAAGTCTAGTTTTTGTTTTGTATAGACATTACTTTTTCATCAAGTCACATTGCATAATCTCTCAACACTTTCCTTCTATTGCAGCTTTTATTATTTCCTTACCAATATGTCTTGAACAAATTTCATTGAAAACACGTAGGTGCTTTATTCATTGTAGCAGTCCCATAAAATGGCTCAAAACATTAACCACTTTTTGGTTCCCAATTGTTGGTTTTTTTGGGGGAGGGACGTTGGAAACAGGATTTCACTATGTAGCCCTGGACTGACCTCAAACTCGTGATCCTCCTGCCTCAGCCTCCCAAATGCTAACATTACAGGTGTGCACCACCTCACCTGGCTTGGTTCCCAATTTTCATTGCCTCAGTTTTGTTACCATTACAAGGACACACCTGTAAGATTCTCCTGATGCAAGTGGGACTTGCCCCTTCATCAATGGGTGCCTCCCTCTTGCATGCTCCCCTTTACATACACAGACACAGACAGACAGACAGACAGAAACACACACACACACACACACACACACACACACACACACACACCAGGCCTGAAGATACTTCAAGGCATCCTGCTACTGATAAAAGGTAGTTCAAAACCTAAATACAGTCAACTTAGCAGTATCCAGAGAGATTGGTTCTTGGACCTCTTTAGATGTCAAATTTTATGTAAGTCCCTTATATAAAATGGCATATTGCATATAATTTACACACAAGCTCCTGTTTATATTATCCAGATAATCCCTAATGCACAGCAAATGCTGTGTGAATGGTTGTTACACTATATTGCTCAAGGAATAATGACAAGAAAAAAGTCTGTACAGGTATAATTTCTTTATTCTGAGTATTTTCAGTCTGTGATTGGTTAAACTCACAGATCCCCCGCCCATGGATAGGAGGGGATTGTTACCAGAATCACCGTTAGTGAGAGGCAGCTTGCTCTCTGGAGGCTCCTCCAGAGGTGACTCAGAACTCTGATCTTCTGATACCTCTCTGGGCCTGTGCTCCACAGTTGGGCAGATTTAAATGTGGTCTCTGTCCACAGTGACACCAGGATCATGGCCACCATCAGGACCTCACTTTTGTGATCCTTTGTTTCTTTCCTCACCTGTTAAATGAGTTTTGCCAAGAGCTTCCCAAGATTTAAAACATGCATGACCTGGTCAAGAGGCTTTCTTCCCTCTGTACCCAAAGGAGCTTCTCTTGATCCAGAGCTTATGAGCTGATTAAACCTCTGGCTTGCCAGCGCACTTGTCCATTCCCAGAGCAATGTGTCCATCTATGGCCCCAGCAGCACTTAATCTACCAGGTCAAGATTACTTTCCCAGTTTCAAAAGCAATTCCATCTGAAAGTGCACCCACACTGATAAAAAAGGTTTACAGTAAGGCACTGAAACACCATCACCTTCAGCCCCCGCTCTCTAAAGGCCAGCTTCTACTCTGTATCCACTTACTACCTAAGCCTGAAGGAACAACAGGGGTGATGCTTACAGAAACAGTTGAGACTCATCATTTGGGGGAACTGAGGCCCCACAAACCTCCTGCAGATACCTCCTTTTTCATCCATTCTGCACGTGCTTACAAAAAATCCATTTCCAGTCAGTCCTGGCTAAGAGCTTTCTGATCCAGGCGTTTCATTCATTCCTCACTGGAAGGAAGGAAATGGATATGGCTACTCCTATAAGCAGATGGGAAACAGCAGAACTTGATTGCATGCCTCTCTATTGCTAAAGCCCACATTCTCTTTGCTGCTCTGTTTCTTTAAGACCATAGTCAGATTTTTTAAAACCATCAAAAAATGTAATCAAGATCCTATTATAGCATGCCCGGACACAATCTTTTCAAGCTAGGCTCTTACATCACTTGCTGCCTGCTGTCATAGATGATGGATGGGTGATGGATAGATGGATGGATGATAGATGGATGGTGGATGGATGAGTAAGATGGATGGGTAAGTAAGTGGATGGTTGTTGGGATGAGCAGATGGATAGATATGTGGCTGAGTAGGGTGAGCTAATTAATTTCTTTTCCTTTGTATCCAGGACTCGTTCTGATAGAACACATCTGTCATTCCTAGTGGAATTGCAGATACACACTGCACGATCCCCAGCACCCATGTCCTTTCCTTCCCCACTAGGTGGATGAGAGAGCAGAATGGAAGAGGCCACCTTCCCAGTGTTCTGGAGCATCAAAAAAAAAAGTTAGAAAACCAGGCTGAGACAGTGGGTTCTGAGTTGGATCCCTTCCAACCAAGTGGTTCCAAGACCACTTTGCTCATTAGCTGCTTCTGTGGTAGGTGAGAAACGGAAGCTATATCTGGGTAATAAGACTCTTTGGAAGGTGGCTAGTACAGATCCCCTATAGTCACAGCTCCAAGGCCACCAAGAAGGAGCCCTGAGTCTTTGGAATCCTAGTTTGACACCTTCTCTTAGAGATCACAGGTTGGGAGGATCTGTGACCCCTCTAGACAGTCCTGACACCAAGTGCCATTACTTAAGACTCACCCCATGGGACGGCACACAGGAGCAGTGGAAAGAATGCTGGTTTAGTCGTCAAACACACCTGGGGATGAGTCCTTGGGAAAATTAGGAAAATTCTTATCCTTGTGGGTCTCAATTTCTTTATCTATAAGTTGAGATTAGTGGCAGTAGCTACATCACGACTGTGGGTCTATGAGGGTGGGGCCACACTACATAGTGATGAGCAAGGTGTCTGGCTCAGACTGAGAAATACTCAGTGCTCAGTT